CCTGTAGAGCAGTAATTTAGTACTGGGCAAAGGAAGCTGGATCCCACAGAGCTGACTGAGGTTTGAATCCATGCCCTGGCAGTAGCATGACAGGTATACCCGGGATCCTGATGGAACAGAGAATTAGAGGAAGGAAGGATCGTGGCATGACCAGACTTCATTGGGAGTCTTTTATCTCTCTTTCTCTATATATTGTACAGCAAGGGAAATGTAGTTAATAATAATATATTATGTATTCAAAATAGCTAAAAGGGAAAATTTTAATTGTACTCTACACAAAGTAATGATAAATATCTGAGATAATGAACATGCTAATTATCCCAATTCGATTACTCCATGAAATATGTGTGTATTGAAGCACGACACTGACTTCATAAAACTGTACATTATTTGTCAGTTAAAAGTAAAACAGGTCCAGCTTCTGGCACAGTGATAGTGCAACACTCTGCAATGCTGGACCACATAGAAAGGTCCCGTGTTCACATGTGAAGTTCTCTTGTCAGGCATGAATATATACACCAGGGATCCAGGCTGATTGAGGCTGAGGATAGACTGCAGCATCAAAAACTGTCAGGGCTGGGACCAGCAGTTAGCGTAATGGCTATGTCACTGGACTCCCATGTAGTTGACCACGGTTCAAGTCCCGGATCTGGTGACTTAAACTCATGCCGGGCGCGTGTGCGTGCACACCCAAGATCCCAAGAGGAGAATGGAGGAGAACAGACTGTGGCATGGCCATCCCCCCTGGGAGCTGATTTCTTGCTTTCTGTTTCTCTGTTTCTCTCTATCTCACTGGTGAGCACATGCACCCTGTAGCAAAAACCTCTCCCCTCCCCCCCCAAAAAAAAACCTGTCAGGGCTGCCCTTCTTTCTCTCCATCTACCTCACTCATAAAATAATTTTTAAAAAAAATTTAAAAAATAAAAATAAATTAAATTAAACTATTTATAGAAGAGTTTATTATGTGAGATATGAATTATATTGAAATAAAACTTAAAATATTATCTCAGAAGGAAAGAGAGCAACAGGAACTTACAAGCCAGAATCCAGGTCTACGTACTGTGGAACAGTACCCATAACATTTAACATTAAATCAAAATGTAGCTTCATTTCATTAATTTTTTCATTAACTATTGCCAATTCTTCAAGAAGCACATCAGGAAACTCCAGGACACTTTCCAACTTGAAAGAACAGAAGTCAAGAGAACTAATCACACTTGAAAGACTTTTAGAGATACCTAGAAAAGTAGAAAAGCATTAGCTTTTACAATACAAGTATTTGTATGGCTTCTACATCAATACTAAAATTTAAAATTGTACCAGGCAAGGACATATCTTTTCTCTCATCTTTTTACTATCCTATGACTTTCCTAAAAGAGAACCTTGTAGAGAATTGTTCCTAAGAAACATTTAGTGAATAAACACTGTGTGTAGTTTACGTCTTTATGACTGATAGACCATTTCTTTATTGACATTTTCCTGTCTTCTCAGCTAAAAACCAAATGCACCCAGAAACTATGAGCTGTAGTTTTCTGTAAAGTCATTCTGTTAGGACAATGATGATAAACAGTTTCTTCATGCTTATGAGATAGTTAATAACAGAAATGAGAATAAATATCACAGTTTTGGGGCCAGCCCATGACCTAGGGGTTAAGACAACTGGATCCTACATGGCTGACCACACAGTTCAAGATCTAGGTCCAGTTACTTGAGAAACACACTGGGCATGTGTACAGGTATGTCTAAAATCCCAACGGGAGGTAAAAATAAAGAGAAGAGATTGCAGCATGCCCATGCCCCACAGGGGATGATTTCTCTCTGTCTCTTTCTCTCTTTCTCTGTCTCTCTCCAGCAAGCACACGTGCACTCTGGCAAAAACTAAAAATGAAAATAAAAAATAAAAAAAAATCATAAGTTTTGAGTCATTTTTCTAGGTCATCAATCAGGATTTCACGAAGTTTATGGTTTTTCATCTAACAAAGATTGAGTTTGGATCCTAATGTGAATCTTGTGGACTGATTCACTGTAAGATCAGGGCAAAATACCTTCTCTTTGTCTTATCTCATTTGCAAAATAGGAAATGAATGTGCTCCCAATTCAGAATTACATAAAGAGAAATAACTGAAAAGCAAACTGGGGGCCAGCAGGTGACATGTTGGTTAAGACAGCTGGATCCCACATGGCCAACTCTGTGGTTGAGTCTCAGATGACGTGGCGTGAAAAATATACTAGGTGGGTGTGTGTGCAAGTCCTAAATCCCAGGAGAAGAATAGAGGAGAAGGTACTGTGGCACAGCCATCACACTTTAGGGGTTGATTTCTCACTTTCTGTCTCTCTGTATCTTTCTGGCAAGTACATACAAACAACAACAAAAAGGAGTATACTGTTTTCCTGTCCTTGATAAAATTATTTTCATTACCTTTATCAGTACATTTTGATCTTTTAGGAGTATTCAGAATGATCGGTTGGGCCTGCCCTGTAGTGTAGGAAGGCAGATCCTGCATGGCCCAACCATGATTTAAATTTTGGCTCTAGCAGCCTGTAAAACATGCTCAGTATGTGTGCATGTATGCCCAAAACCTTATGGGGTGAAGAAATGAAAAAGGAGATTGCGGTGTGATCATGCCCCATTGGCAGGTTCTCTGTCTGTCTGTCTCTCTCTCCCTCTCTTTCTCTCTCTCTCTCTTTCTTGCAAGGTTAAGTGCTCTCTGACCAAAAGAAGAAAACAAAAAGATACTTAGAATAGTGTTTTTTAAAAAAAGATCTGTTAATTTTGCCATTATTCATTATTTTGAGTTCCTTTTTCATTTTAAACCATTTATTTCATTTTTCTCTATCTACTGTATACTCTAATGAATAGCTATTGCCATGTTTTCTGTATGATTGCTGGTATATAAAATCAAGGAATGTTTTTCCACACAGAGTAGTTTCATACCAGACAACAGTGTCACTCCACAGATAAAGTTGCCTGGAAGACCATACTGGGAAAGATTCTTAAGTAATACGTGATATAGTCAGTAAGAGTCTTTTTTTTTTTTTAATTTTTTTTTTTAATTTTTAAATTTTTTTTTTTTTGGAGAGGTTTTTGCTATAGGGCACGTGCGCTCGCCAGACAGATAGAGAGAGAGAGATAGAAAGCGAGAAATCACCCCCCAGAGGGGATGGCCATGCCGCAATCCCTTCTCCTCCATTCTCCTCTCGGGATCTTGGGCACGTACGCACACGCGCCCGGCGTGAGTTTAAGCCACCGGGTCCGGGACTCGAACCGCGGTCGACTACGTGGGAGTCCAGCGACATAGCCATTACGCTAACTGCTGGTCCCAAGTCAGTAAGAGTCTTGATAGATTTTTTTAGTATCTCTCATGGGATTAGAAGATTGGATTTTCATTATCTCTAATGCAACTGGAATATTAGGTCACTTTACTGGGGAGATGACATTGAAGTTTAGAATACGCCAAGGAGTAAAGGCCTTGGTAAGCATACCAGGCTTTCATTTGGGATCCTTGAATCCCTGAAGCATTACATCTTCAGAATAAGGGTGGAGGGCTGGTGCTGCAAAGCAGCAGTTGAGCATTGTACAGAGGTGGCTTTCTCACATAGCCAACCAGGACTCGAGTCCTGGTCCCTAGCTACTTGAAAAACACATTGGGCACACACGTGTGTGTCCAGGATCCTGATGAGATTAAGACTGAAGGAAAAAGGATTGTGGCATGATCATGCCCCACTGAGGAATTCACTCTTTATTTCTCTCTCATGCACAAACACCCTTTGGTAATTAAAAATAATAATTTTTAAATTAAAACAATGAAAAGAATAAGGGTGGAACAGAAACTAACCAGCCTCTGGAAATCCTGAAGCTAGACTTAATTTTAGCTCAGTCTATGATTGGATGAAGGTATTCCACTCCTACCCTAAAAAGCCTAACCAGAAAAGAAATTAAAAATCATTCTTGTAAAATAATAGCTTGATCCAAAGTCTCAAATTATCTCTAGATATTTTCACACAAAAGGTCCAACATTCAATCAGAATAGTCAAGCATACAAAAAGAATTTATGCAAAACCAAGAAAAAATAAAGTCAATAAAAAAATACCTATATAGGTCTACCTTCTATATAGGTCTATTCTCTTCCCCCCTTTGGTGGTTTTATTGCTATAAATATATAACATCTCTTAATCTTATCAGCCTTAGAATACATTATTATAATTATAACTTTATTACATTTTACTATTTCTTTAGCCTATTAAGAGTTTTGCTCTCTACTTCTGTGTTGTTTTCTGGCAAAATATTATGCATATATTACATTTCTAATATGAGGGTACTTCAAAAAAATTGGAGAACAGGACCAGCAGTTGGCATTAATGGCTATGTAGCTGGACTCCCATGGAATCAACCACGGTTCGAGTCCTGGACCCGGTGACTTAAGATCACGCCAGATGTGTGTGCGTGCACGTGTGCCCAAGATCCCGAGAGAAGAAAGGAGAATGGATTGGGGCATGGCCATTCCCTCTGGGGGGTGATTTCTCACTTTGTCTCTTTGTTTCTCACTGTCTTTCTGGCAAGCACAAGTACCCTATAGGAAAAAAAAAAACTCTTAAAAAAAATTGGAGACCAAGGTATTATCCAATTATCAGACACAGACTTCAAAATTAATTATAAGGGCTGGAAGGTGGTACAACTGTAAAATGTAACATTCTTCAAAGGTAACTCATATAGAGAGGTTCATGTCCAGAGACCTCCCTCAATATGCTTGGCACATACACATGTACCCATGATCTAGGGTTGGCTGAATGTGAGAGTAGATTGTGACACCAAAAACCTGCTAAGAATGCTACCTATCTGTTTTTCCCTTTCTCTCACACATGGAAGAAATAAACTCATTTGTCAAAAATAAAATAGAGGGGCCAGGGAGAGGTGTCATGGTAAAAACATGTGCTGTGAAAGGTTGCCAGTTCACATCCAGAGATCTCCCTGAGTTCTCCAGACATGTGTGTGCCAGTGATCTAGCCTTGTGGAAGCTAGGGTGGATTGTGGCATTGAAAGTCTATTAGGTGCTGTATTGCTCCCTCTCCCTCTCTCTCTACTCTCTCACACATGAAATAAATGGATGAGCTTGTCAAAAATATTAAAAAGATAAATAAAATTAACAGTGACTAAAGTTTTTAAGTTACAGGGATCTTTGAAAAAGTTCATGGAAATGTGTATTATTTTTAAAAAACTTATGTATGGATTTCAATTTTTTTGCCCCAAAATAAACTCATACTTTAATTTCATTTTTAAATGAATTTTATGAAGTACTCTCATATTAGTAATGTAATATGTGTATAATATTTTGCAAAAAAAAAAAAAAAAAAAACAGCCAGAGGTAGGTGAAAGTAAAACTCTAATGAACTAAAGAAGTGGTAAGATGTAGTAAAGTTATAATAATAACAATGTATTCTAAGGTTCATAACATTAAGACATGTGATATGCATAGCAATAAAACCACCAAAAAAGGAAAGAGAATAGATCTATATAGAAGTAATGTTAGTACATATTACTGGAATTAAGATATTATGAATCTGAAACTAATCGTATAAATTTAGGTATGTGTAGAAAATTGTAGAGAAACCACTAAAAAAAACTTTTAAGATACAGTAAAATAAAATTATTAATGAAGTTAAACACGATATTTAACAAATTCACTCAATGCAACATACATAGAATATACAGAAAATAAAGTAAAAGGGCAGATGTAAATCTAACTATATTAATAATAACATTAAATGTAAATGAATTAAATAATCTAATCAAAAGGCTGAGATCATCAAACTGGATTTTTAAAAAACTGACCTAATTATATGTTGCCTAGATTCAAAGACATAAATTTAAAATAAAAGACAGGATCAGATGGTGACATTACAGTAAAATGCAATGCTATGTAAGGTAATCCTATAGAGGAAAGTTCTTGGTTCAAGACCTCCCTGAGTAGGCCAGGCACGTGTATGCCCATAATCTGGAGCTAGAGGAATAGATTATGGTATCAGGACCCTGTTGGTGCTGCCTATCGCTCCCTCTCTCTCTCTGTGTCTCTCACACATAGAATAAATAAATAAACTTTTTTTAAAAAAGAAAAAAGTTTTAAGTAAAAGAACAGAAAAAATATATCACTATATAACAACCATAGAAAGTTGAAATAGCTACAGTAATACACAAAATAGACTTTAAAACAACAAGTGATTCTAGAAATAAAAATATTTT